CCCCCGCCTCTTCCCTGTGCTGTGTCACACATATGTATGCATATATACACACACATATGTGCACCCGCATATACATATGCACATGTGTGTATGAATGTAACATATACACATGTACACACAACTACACACATATGTAAGCATACATGCATACACACATGCGCACATATATATACACATACATGCATACATTTACACATGCAAACATGCATGAACACATGCACACTCATGCACACACGTACACATGCAAAACATCTACATGTACATATACACACATCTACACATCCACATGCATACATATGCACATGTATGCACATGTATGCACCTACAGTCACATGTATGTGTACACACACATACATGCACATATATGCACATACCTACATATCCGCAATACATATATATGTATATACAACATACGCATATACATGCACATATATACATCTATATATACATAGCCATGCTTACACATATATGTGCACACATGCACACAGCACACATCCACACACATGTGTTAACATATACAATATATACACATGCACATCTGTACACTGAATACACATTATTCACACATATGTGTGCAATATATACATGTACCCATATATACACCTGCATATGCACACATAGCTGCTCATGCATTCATACATGTATGCACACACAATACAGATATTTACACTATATTCTCACACAATACATATTTACACATACATACATGCATGCATGCAGACATATGTGTGCACACATCGAGAGGACTTCAAAAGCTCACGGGAGAATGGAGTTAGGAGACAGGGTTCTTGGGGTGGGTGTTGTGAGACGGCGCCACGATGGGAGACGCAGGGCTCTGGGTGTCCTGGGAGCCCACTGAGTGCTTGGGTGCTCCAGCTCCCCCCCAGAGGAGGGCCTCCTGTCGTCAGTGCTGACCCTAAGGTCCCCAGGCCCTGCTCCCTGACTGAGCCCAGTGGGTGGACTGCTCAGCAGGGAGCTGAATCGGAGGTGGAGCAGCAGGGACTTTTTTTTTTTTTAATTTATTTCCTAAAGATTACAGATTTCCTAAGTACAGCTTTAGGAATATAGTGACTCTGCCCACCATCCCCGTCCTCCCACCACACTGCCACCCCTCCTCCTCGTCCCTGTCCCCTTGGCAGACCCATTCTCACAGCAGGGACTTGACCCGGTCCCATATGGGATGGTGGTGCTGCAGGGGGCACCACAGCCCGGCCTCAGATTTACTGAATTTCGAGTCTCACCTGCAGTGACCACGGCAGGGCCAGTCCGTGATTCTCATGGGCCTTAGTGGCCTGTGGTCTGGCCACTATCCCCAGCCTGATAAAGAAGCGATTGTTGAAGTGCAGAGGAGCGTGACGAGCACCCACAGTTTTCACGAAGTCGAACGTCCTGATAGACCCTGATGTCGGGGCACAGATTTTCTGAGATTTTCTGGGGCCGCTGTTCCGGCAGAAGCTGTGAAAGTTTTCCTTGCCCAGCACCGGGGGATGAAGGCGTTTCCTGTCTGAGTAAGGAGGCGGTGACGGGAGCCTGTGCCGGGGGCTCGCGTCCTGCTGTCCTGGGTCGGGAGCCGAGGGCTCTTCATTTCACTGCCAACAGTTCGCTTCAGTCCTGAGGCTCCCCTAAGGCTGCGGATGTGCGAGTTCCCTTTGTGGGAGCCAGTTTGGGATGTCTCCTTAAACGGCACTTACTTCCCAGAAGACTACGTTGTATTTTACAGTCGCTTATTGTCCCCATATTTTCTTTCACTTCTTGTTATTTGGAATAAGTGTTTTTTTTTTTTTGACAGGCAGAGTGGACAGTGAGAGAGAGACAGAGAGAAAGGTCTTCCTTTGCTGTTGGTTTACTCCCCAAATGGCCGCTGTGGCCAGTGCACCGCGCTGATCCAAAGCCAGGAGCCAGGTGCTTCCTCCTGGTCTCCCATGGGGTGCAGGGCCCAAGCACTTGGGCCATCCTCCACTGCCCTCCCGGGCCACAGCAGAGAGCTGGCCTGGAAGAGGGGCAACCAGGACAGAATCCGGCACCCCGACTGGGACTAGAACCTGGTGTGCCAGCACCGCTAGGTGGAGGATTAGCCTAGTGAGCCATGGCACTGGCTGGAATAAGTATTAATAATTGTAGTTTATCAGGTAATAGCTTCTAGCTCACTACTGTTGCGTCATCGCGTGCTGCTTTTATGTACGGCTATTTTCTGCTCTCCGGTATCTCCAATAGCTGGAGTCCTTGTGGGCCTAATTTCTTGCTTCCGCTTATTTTTACTCGTAGCTGATTCTTTGCTCATGTGGTTTATAATTTTGGATTGTGAGATTGTATTCACTTGATCTTCATCTGTTAATTTCTCACTTTAGAATTTCCAAAACCAGAGACCGAATTTAAATCCCAACAGCAGGAAGTTAAACCTGCAGTTATGAATCACAGGAGAGACTTTATTTATCTAAAAGGCAGGGAGAGGGGGAGATTTGCCATCCTCTGGTTCACCTCCCAAATGGCCCTAACAGCCAGGGCTGGGCCAGGCCGAATCCAGGAGACTGGAGCCCCATCTGAGTCTCCCATATCGGTGCCCTGTGCCCAAGCACTTGTGCCAGCATCTACACCCTTCCCAGGTGCATTAGCAGGGAGCTGGGTTGGGAGCAGAGCAGCTGGGAAACCAAAAGGCAGAGTTACAGTGAGAGAGGGAGAGCGGTCTTCAATCCACTGTTTCACTCCCTAAATGGCTGCAAAAGCCAGGGCTGAGTCAGACGAAAGCCAGGAGCCAGGAGCTTCTTCCAGATCTCCCATGTGGACTGCAGGAGCTTAAGCACTTGGGCTGTCTTCTGCTGCTTTCCCAGGTGCATAAGGAAGGAGCTGCATCAGAAGCAGAGCAGCTGGGACTCAAACTGGCACTCACATGGGATGCCTGTGTATGCAGGTGGCAGCTTTACCTACTACACCACAATGCCAGCTCCTCCTGTCTTCACGCTCTCTCTTTTTTAAAGATTTTTTTAATTTATTCGAAAGTCAAAATTACAGATGGAAGAGAAGAGACAGAGAGAGATCATCCGTCCACAGGCTCACTCCCCAAATGGCCGAAAATGCTGGTGCTGAGCCAGGCCGGAGCCAGGAGCCAGGAGCTTCATCTGGGTCTCCCACGTGCAGAGACCCAAGCACGTGGGCCAACTTCCACTGCTTTCCCAGGCGCATTAGCAGGGAGCTGGACCGGGAGTGGAGCAGACGGGACTTGAGGTTGGAATCTGTCTTCTCTTAAACTGAGTGTGAGCTCTTTGTGTATTTCTGTTGCAAAGCCCTGCCCTAAGCAAGGTCACAGCCTTGATTCCTGTCCCAGAACTGTAGGTCATGTGCCCTCAGTCATTTGAGGACCGGCTGTTCTGTCTGGGAGCCTGCGACTGCAGCTGCTTAGTTAAAAAAATAGTGATTAGTGACCTCAGCCATGCATTGGAAAGGTTTGTTATGTTCCGTTTGTCTAGGTGACTTGTAGAATTTTCGACAATAGCTAGCCTGCTATTGCCTTCAAGCCCTACCTGTTTTTATTCCAGAATTTTCTCCAAATCTTGTTCTGAAGCAATGCAAGGTGTACTGTCTTTTGAATGCCCTTTATGTGTCTAGTCCTTTGTAGCAGTGAGCTCATGTTCTTGTCATCTTTGCTGTCGCGTCGGTCACTCTATTTGAAAAGGACCCCATCTCTGCCTCTCTGTTTCTGTTCTCTGAGTGTCCTGTATTGCGACCATCACTGTACGCCGTCATTTATTTTCTGTTGCACTAAACCACAGGTTCCACGAGGGTAAGAACTGTGTCCCTCCTAGTATTTATGCATCTCCTGTGAGCTCTTGGTAAGTGCTTGCCATACAGAGGAATATAATCCACAGTCTTGGTAACAGGAACCTGGGCCTGGGGGTGTGATGTGACTGATCCCAGGCTGCAGAGCCAGTCCGTGATGAGAGATGGAAGAGGAGACCCCAGGCCATGCCACGCTGTTGGCGAAGCTCTTCCTTTCATTAGTTTCTGGGAAGCCAAGGTGAGTAACTGCATTATGAAAGTGGCTTGATTAAATGATAACTGCAACAATTTTCTCACATCATTAATTTCAGATTACATCTGATTTTAACACAGAAGACTTATGTCATGTAGGATTAGAGAAACGTCGGAGTCAGCATGTCAGGGCAAAATGCTCAGGCCCTGTTGATGGTACTTTGTGTCAGATCTTTAAAAAAAAAACTTCCTTGAAAGGCAGAGAGAGAGAGAGAGAGACAGAGAGGGAATCTTCTGTCCACTGTTTCACTTCCCAAATGACTGCAGCAACCAGTGCTGGGTCAGGCCAAAGCTAAGAGCCCAGAGCTCCCTCCAGGTCTCCCACGTGTGCAGGACTCAAGTCCTTGGGCCATGTTCCACTGCCTTCCCAGGGGCGTTAGCAGGGAGCTGGGTTGGAAGTGGTGTAGACTGGACTTGAACCAGTGCGCTGACATGGGATCTGGCGTCCTAAGAGCTGGCTTAACCCGCTGCGCAGTGCTGCCCCTGCTAGCTTTTGTCCTGTTGCTGAGAAGTAGGCAACTCGTGTTCTTTGGGAAGCGTAGTCTGCGCTCTCGCCCTAGTCAAGAGGAACATTGATGGTCGTTTCTCTTTCTTTCTCCCTTACTCTTCTTGCTGCTTGAAGAGATGGTTGGTTAACTATTTTATTTACCAAGTGCATTACAAAGCTCAATTTGTTATTTAAAAAAAAAACCTTGAAAATCAGCAAATTGAAAATGTCCTATTCTTAAATCTTTAGAAACTCTAAAAGAGATAAAAGTTGTTTTGCTTTGGGTAATCTCTTGCTGTTTTCTATTTAAGTAAGATCACCCTTTCAAAAACCATTCATTTATTTATTTTGAAAGAGTTACAGAGGGAGAGGGAGGGGGAGAGGGAGAGGGAGAGGGAGAAGGAGAGGGAGAGGGAGAGGGAGCGGTTGCACTGTGGCACAGGGGGTTCCTGCCCTGGCCTGAAGCACCGGCATCCCATATGGGCGCTGGTTGGAGTCCTGGCTGCTTTACTTCCAATCCAGCTCTCTGCTGTGGCCTGGGAAAGCAGTGGATGATGGCCCAAGTCCTTGGGCCCCTGCACCCCCGTGGGAGACCCGGAAAAAGCTCCTGGCTCCTGGCTTCGGATTGGTGCAGCTACAGCCATTATGGCCAATTGGGGAGTGAACCATTGGATGGAAGACCTCTCTCTCTCTCTCTGCTACTCCTCTCTCTGTTTAACTCTGACTTTCAAATAAATAAATAAATCTTAAAAAAAAAAAAAAGGAGAGAGAGAGATTGATTTTTCTGTCATCTGGTTCACTCCCCAGGTGGCCACAACACCTGGGGCTGGGCCAGGCAGAGGCCAGGAGCCAGGAGCTTCTTCCTGGTATCCCATGTGAGTGCAGAGACCCAAGCACGTGGGCCATCCTCCGCTGCTTTGCCAAGCACTTTAGCAGGGAGCTGGACCAGAACCGAAGCAACCAGGCTCCAACCAGCACCCATATGGGATGTTGGTGTTGCAGGCTTAGCCCACTGTGCCACAGCGCCAGCCCCAAGACTACGTTATTTTAACCAGATAATATTTTCTGTAATAGAGGCTGACCTAGTGAACTGGACATGACATCAGCCGACCACTACCAAAAATGTCTGCAGGTGGATGTGTGTGTGTCAGGCTGGGATTCTCACACCAGAAGGGGAGACACTGCGGGAGGAGGAGGAAGGACTCTTCGGGACTAGTCGGTAAGAAGGTGGGGGCCAGGCTCCCTCTGCTCATTCTCAGGTGGCGGCTGAGCCACGGGAGTGTCTTCCCTCTCTCAGAACAAGGACGTGGACCTGCGGGGTCTCCACCCACTTACAGCCAGGAGGGATGTGACTCCCACTGACTGGAAGGATCATGCCCTGTGGAGCCTGGAGGATGCTCTTGAACCTGCAATGGTGATTTTAAGACGTTGTCTGCAGGGCCCTGAGATGTGGAGCTGGAGGCCGAGTCGGCGTCCACACTGAAAGAAGGGGGCTGCGGCTGTTAGGGGCTCCTGTGTCCCATGCCGAGGCTCAAAGAACAGCTTTCCACACTGGAGTCTGAGTGTAGCTTGCTCTTGGCAGGTTGTGGGTTAATGTTCATTCTTAAACAATTGTCTGTTTTTTAGAGATCAAAGAGAGACAGAGACAAGAGTGATCTTTGACCTGCTGATTCAGTCTCCAGATGCCTGCTGCAGCCAGGACTGGGCCAGGCCAAAGCCAGAAGACCGGCCCTCCATCCAGGTCTCTCATGTGGGTGACTGACAGGTACCCAGGTGTCTGAGCCGTCACCTGCGGCCTCCTGGGGGGCATCAGCAGCCAGCGGGAATGAGAGGCAGGGCCAGGACTGGAGCTAGACTCTCAGGTACGGGATGCCGGCATCCTCAAGCATTGCACCGGATGCCTGCCCCAAGTCAATGCATGCTAGCTGCAAAAGTGGCCCACGAAATATGTTTTGGAGGGATACATGAATACATGAGGTGTATAGAAGCTACTATTTAGGGGATGTAATGTTTCAGAAGTTTTGGAGAAAGTAAAAGTTTAAAGTATTAATTTCTGTGTACCTCGCAGGTTGTGAGTTCCCATGGGCGGCTGTGCCTCTTCCTCCTCACTCAGTCTTCCCATGCCCACACACCTCCTCGGCACTTGGTGGCTGCCTTAGGAGACGCCGTGTGAGTGACCGGGGACGGGCGCCCGCTCCGAGTGACCGGGGCAGCTGCCTCCAGCACCCTGTGTGCTTTTCGATGCTGACAGTGGAGGCTGTGCACAGACTCCAGGGCAGATCTGACCCCTCCTTCCTGTCACCAAGTCCCTCAGACTTTTGAAGGCCAGCACAGCAGCACAGAAGCCTCACTACGGGTGGCAAGACCAGGCCTTAGAATCGATTCTGACTGCTCGCCTGCAGGACGCACTGGGGCCTGGCTCTCAGGCTGTCTCTCCCACGTGGGTGGCAGGGACCCAGGTACCTAAGCCATCGCCTGTTGCCTCCCAGGCTTCGCTTTAGTGGGAAGCTGGAACTGGGAGCAGAGCCAGGCCTTGAACCCAGGAACTTCAGTGTGGGACGGCGATATCCCAAGTGGCATGTTAACTGCTGCACCACACTCCCGACTCCTGAACTCCTGGTCTTCATCTGAGAATCATCTTGGGGAATAAGAACTGCTTGCTTGTGTCTGTAGCATTTATGGAGTTAGTGCCACACTGAAAGAAACAGACCGGAGCCCGGCGCAAGTTGGGATTTGAGATTCGGGAGGAGTCATCATGCATGCAGAAGGCAAACGGGATTAACTGAACCACTGTGTGGACAAGCACCTGGGTGCTGCTGGGTGTCCTGCAGGGTACGAGGGTGCAGCCCTGAGCCTTGGCACCATTCCCCCCTTTAGAGCTCACAGTCCCTGTCCTGAGGGAGGACAGGCCGGCCCAGCAGAGGACATCCTGTGAACCACAGAGATGGAGAGGAGATGCCTAGTTATGTAAATGAGCTTTCTACTTTTGTAGGACCTAAACTGTAGTTCTGTCAGTGACAACTGAAGCCTGTAACTAACAGTCAAAAATAGTGATGCCAAGGCTGGAGCTGAATTTTCGGAGGCTATTTAAAAATGTGGCATTTAAATTTATACATGAACTGAAAAATGAAGCAAGTCCTGTGACACTTTGACAGGCTTAATCACTTCCCCTGTAACACAAACAGTAACCTAATAGCAAGATGCTAATCGCGCCTTGGTGCAGGTGCTGCTAATTAGCTATTGGATTAGGCTGCGATGTATTCTTTCCCTCACCTATGCACGGTGTTTGTACAAGATGCAAATGAGAGCTCTAAGCTGAAATGTTCAAGGGCCAAGCACGGACTGACCTTGGAACAGGGCGAGGTCAGGGCGTGGTTGTCCTGCAGGTCTCAGCCGGGTTCCTGGTGCCCCTCCTGACAGTCCAGGGTTCCTCTCCACGGGGAGGTTCAGCTCTGGCCGAGTGACCAGGTGCAGAGTCGGAAGCCATTTCTCACTCCATCTTCTGCTCTTGGAGAGGCAGCAGCGGTCACTCGATAATTAGGGGTCATCATCCTTTGCTGGGCAGGTGTCTGTCACAGGCCTGCTGTAGGTAGTAGGGAGGACATGAGTATTTGCTGAATGAAAAATACTCTCTGGAGTGTTACAAAAAGGCTCCCATGAACACTCTGGGCACTTGGTACTTAACCTGTGGTGAAGTAGTGGTCTCCATTGTGGGGCGTATGTGCAGAAGAGCTAGTGCCCTGCCTTGGTCAGCTCTTTCCAGTTGGCTGGGAGGAACACAAGCTCTGGCCACAGGACAGGGGTACACTTCTGGGCTGAGGCCCTGGGTTGGGGGGGAAGGGGAGCCCAGTGAGATGGAGGAGGCCAAGGGAGGACGCAGGAGCCACGGCTGTTGCTGGCTCCTGCAGGAAAGGTGTGGGTAACTCCTTGCATCAAGATGACTTGTGTTTTTTCCTTGATTTTGTGAGATTAATACAGTTTTTAAATATTTATTTGAAAAGCATTGTTATAAAGAGAGAGAGAGAGAGATCTTCTGTCTGCTGGTTCACTCCCCATATGACTGCAGTGGCCAGGGCTGTGCCAGGCTAAAGCCAGGAGCCTGGAACTCCATCTGGGTCTCCCGTTTTGGAGTCAGGGGCCCAAGCACCGCTGCTTTCTCAGGCGCATGAACGGAGAATTGGATCAGCGCAGGAGCAGCTGGGACTTGAACAAGCTCCCTCTGGTCTGTACGTGTCCGTAAAAAGTAGTCGAAAGTCACCTTCAGTTCTTTTCTGAAAAGTCACCGATCTTTGGGCACCCTGGGGCCTTGAATCAATGGTTGCCGATCAATATTTTCTATGTTCGGTTACCGGTTCCTTCCCCCTTCTCCACCACGGGCTGTCCACCGAGAGGATCAATGGGGTGCATCTATGGTGAGAGCCCTGGATGGCTTACACGTGTCCTCGTGGAGAGCACACATGCGCAGGAAATCATGGGGACACCTTCTCAGAGGAGTCCTGAAGCCATTATGGGCTGGATCTGTGACCCAGGCTGCATCTCCTCAATTACGGTCACAGAACACATCAATCCAGCCGCCTCGCAGGAAGCTGCTGTCTCGGACATCCAAGCGCAGACACCAAACTCAGAATTTTGCAGGCTGTTTTCATTCCCAGCACATGTGGACTTGATTTTCAGGGGTGGTTACTACTCAGCGCTTTGAACAAAATCTCAACTTCCCTCAGTGCAGGGACATGCGTCTGAACGGTTCTGAACTTGCTGGGCTGGTGCAGCCGATGATGTGCTGTCAAGAGCTCAGTCACCAGGCCAATCCCAACCTTTCGGGTTCTCCGGGCCTCAGGAAAGACTGCCTTGGTTTTAAAGTGTAGATAGTGTGGCTGGCCCGTGTCCCAGGGAGCTAGCTGGCTTGGAGTAGCTTTCAGACATTGGTTTGGGTGTGGAGTGGAGTTGAATGGCTTGCCTGCTGACTTCCGGGATGCTGCTGCCCGAGAAAGCCCCAGCAGGACGGAGTTCTGGAAGGATTTCTCCCGTGCTGATCAGTCATTGACAACAGGGGGAGCTGGAGAGGCGGAACTGGTGTTTGATTTCCTGATGTACTGGAATAGGCAGCATGAGCTGCTGACGCAAGTATTGCTATTTGCAAATGCGATTGACACATTCATTTCATCCTAAACAATTAGTTGCAGGTCAGAACTTATCCCTACTTCCTTGTGTGCTTAGCAAGCTTTGCTACCTTCTCCCAAGGCCCTGGGCAACCATTTCTTTTTTTTTTTTTTTTAATTAATTAATTAATTTGAAAGGCAGAGTTTCAGAGAGAGAAACAGAGAGAAGTAACTATCTTCTCTCCACCGGCTCACTCCTCAAATGGCCACAACAGCTAGGGCTGGGCCAGGCTGAAGCCAGGAGCCAGGAGCCAGGAGCTTCTTCCAGGACTGCCAAGTGGGTGCAGGGGTCCAGGAACTTGGACCATCCTCCACTGCTTTCCCAGGCACATTAGGAGGGAGCTGGATCGGAAGTGGAGCAGCCTGGACTTGCGCTGGCACACCAAGGGGGTGCTGGGGTCTCAGGCATGTTTAACCCAGTGTGCCACGATTCTGGCCCCTCCTCTGCTGGCTCTTCACTGGGCAAACGTGCTGTTTGCAGACTGGCAACTGCAGCTGGGAAGCCCACTGTGAACAAGATGGAGTGTCTTCTCTTGTGGATTTTGTCATCTGGTTGGAGAGACTGGGATGGTCTCGGTCCTGTGTCAGGAAGCTGGGTGGCTCACACATAGAAACTGTCTCACAGTCCTGGAGGAAGGCAAGATCGGGGTCAGGCTTTCTTCCTGGCCTGCTGGAGACATTTCTGCTGTGCCCCATGAGGGGCGGAGGAGGAGGAGGAGGAGGAGGAGGAAGAGGAGGAAGGGAGAACTGGCAGTTCTTCTAAGGGCACTAATCTCAACTCGAGAGTCCACCCTCCTGATTTCATTTAACCCTTATCACCTCCCCAAAGCCTCAACTCCAAAACCCGTCATCCTGGGAGTTAGGGCTTTGATGTATGAGCCATGAGAAGGGGCCCCACTCAGCCCGCAGCAGGACGTGGACTACCTCACAGGTACTTGATGGGTGTGGTGGTGCCGCAACCGTGGAGAGAAATCAAGCAGGGCCGGGGAGAGTTCTGGGTGTGAGCCAGGCCGTGTGAGCTCCTGCTGCTCCCAGGAGCTTCTGGCAGGGCAGTGCCAAGGCTCGGTTCGGTTTCAGGTGGATCCCCTGGCTGCTGCCCCAGGAACCGGCTCGTGGGCCGGGCAGCTCAAGAATGAACGGATTCCTGATCCACACTGAGCACAGAGCTGACGGGATTTGGGGATGGAATGGATGTGGCACGGGACAAAGAGAAAGCTGAAGGGGATGTGAGCGACTGGACAGACAGCTGCTTATGGGGAGGACGGAGGGAGAAGCCTTTCCTGGCTTCGGGGAAGGCAGGAGGGAGCACCCACGGTGGGGCGGCCAGGGTTTTGGTGCAGGGGCTGAGCTGGAGGTAACAGTCTTCAGGACACAGGTGGTTTTGAAAGTCGTGAGATGGGATGGGGTCAGCGAGGCGTCCCAGAAAGATGACTGCAAGCACCGAAGAGGGAGACAGGATAGAAGGTGACCCGAGAGGAAGCGCCATTTCAGAGTTCAGAGCTCATCTGGGTGGATAAGAGGATCCGTGGCAGGGACAGCTGAGCCGTGAAGGGTGTCAGCCAGATTTAGGGCAGGGGGAAGGACACAGCAGGCGTGTGCAGGTGGAGCTGAAGGGGAGAGAAGGGGGCACCTTCAGGGACCTGAGCCAAGAGTGAGAGGTAGACAGAGTGAGAGGAGATCTAGGAAAGAGATCGAGACAGGTGGTCAGGGGCCGGCACGTGGCGCAGCAGGTTAAAGCCACCGCCTGCAGTGCTGGCATCCCATATGGGTGCCAGTTCGAGTCCTGGCTGCTCCACTTCCAATCCAGCTCTCTGCTGTGGCCTGGGAAAGCAGGAGAAGATGGCCCAAGTCTTTGGGCCTCTGCACCCGTGTGGGAGACCCAGAAGAAGCTCCTGGATCCTGGCTTTGCATCCGCTCACCTCCAGCCATTGTAGCCATTTGGGGAGTGAACCAGAAGATGGAAGACCTCTCTCTCTCCCTCTGCCTCTCTCTCTCACTCTGCCATTACCTCTCTCTGTGACTCTGTCTTACAAAAAGTAATGGCTGACTCAGAGTACTGGGAGAAAACTGGCACTTTAGATGAGAGCCGCTGAGCCAGGTTGAGTTAAAGTAAGACACCTGTGCTCAATACAGGACCTATTGAATATGCACTTTTTTGCAAGCCCAGGAATCTGGTCTTAAAAAAAAGATTTCAGGTGATTGTTTTTTAAATGCCCACTAAAGTTAGAGAGCCGCTGTTTTTCCTTAGTTAACTGAAGAATCCAGCCGTTCAGTATTTGATGAGCCCGTGGTCAGCCAGTCCTCGCGTGGTATACAAAGACACGGGCTCATTTCTAGGTTGTGCGTTTTGGCTGCAGCTGTCTGGCCTGGTCCATGGGAAGTCCGGCTGCCTTCCACACCCACCCTAGGAATTGTGGCTGTCACGGCTGGCCCTTGGAGGGCTGAGGTCCTGCAGTGGGGATTTGCTCCATGAGCTCCCGGGAAGCCTTTCTGGAGAGGACTCGCTCCCTGTGCCAGTTGAAGCAGCGGTGGGCGGAAACCGTCAGGGTGGCGCCGAAGGTGAGCCCTGTGTTCTGGAAGGAGTGGGAGGGGAGTGGGGAGCTCAAGGAGGGGCGTGTGCACAGTGCCGTTGCCCACCCTGGGCTGGAGCGGCAGGGGTGTGTTCGCTGCCACCTGGCGCAGGTCTGCTAGGTGGGTGCCAGATGCCAGGGGATGTGAAAATACACGAAAGAGCCAGGACCCCTTTTGTGGAAGTCCTGACTGGATGAGAGCTTCCCAGAAGCTTCTCCTGCCCTGGTAAGAGAGACGCAGCTACCGCAGAGCCAAGGCCTGGAGTCGCTGGGCCCGGCACGGGTTCAGTCCAGTGGGATGAGGACTCGGAGCTCTCACGGCACTGCCTGGGGGACTGGCCGGTGAGCGTCTTGCAGATGGAGCTGGAGGACGCATGGGCCCCACCAGACTCGGAAGCGTGAATCTCAGAAACACTGTGTGCTTTCAGCAGGCTTGCCCACGACTCACCCAGCTGGGCATCTGCTGAGAGAGAGGGGAAAACCCTCCATTCGGTGGCTCGGACGCGGACTGGGTGTGGAGCATCTGCGGGTTCAGGTTGGTTGATGGGGCTGAACCTGACCCCTGCGTGAACAGCACGAGTGATAAGCAGGGGAACGCACTCTGGTCGGCCTTGCTTTCGGCGGGTTAGCAGGTGTTCTCCCGTCTGGCGTAGCTGCCTCCAGCTCGTGAGTCATGGCTCTGGTAATTGAAAGTTGGGGCCCGATCATGAAGGCCTTCGATGCGCGTCAAGAGGACGGATCGTTTTTCCATACAGCGTTATTTTTGTCTGAAGTGCTAGACTCTGTTTGCACTTTTCGAAGTCTGTGTAGAAAACAAATACTTCATGCCTTCAAGTAGGATATGCTTGATGAGAACTTCCAAATGAGATTAGCACCACTCACACAGCGTTAGCGGAATCCTTGTCATTAAGAAATGTTGTTTTCTATAAAAAAGTTGATAATAGGATACCAAGATGCTAATGTGATTAGGTGATGAGCTGATAATGGGAATTTTTTCTCATATCAGTGATTTTCATTTGTCACCTGCAAAGTTGATCTCCCTAATATGATATGAGATTATAATAAAATCCAGGCAGAAAGTCAGCAGTGAAGTTTATGATGCAAAAGAAAAGTCAATAGCATTATAAATCTTATAAACTGATTATAGTTCAGCTGTCAATGTTCTTGGCTGGGAAATCTCCTTTAATTCCTGTGTTTTAGTCCTATTTACTTGAGTGATACTGAGCAAGGAAATGAAGTAGATTTGAATCTTTATCTTAAGGATAACTTTAATGAGTGATAGTCAATTCCACACGACCTGATGCCCACAGTTCTGCAAGCTTTGCTGGATAAACTCCCATCCAATTAGGTGCACATTTAGAAGAAAGGAGACGGCAGGGTGCAGTCAGAGGAATTCGATACTATGAAATAAA